AACACGGCCAAAGCACGACCCAACAGCCCAGGAGACGCCCAAGAGGGCCGCGAGATGCAAACAGCGATGACTTCGCCCGGGCTTCTGATGAATTCTAGCGTCTTCGTTTTTTTCTGGCATCCTATACACCACCACGGCCCCACGAGCTTCGGAGATCGCCCCAAGAAAGACGGCCCAAGACGCTTCCGAAGCGGCCCCGAGACGCCCGAAAACGGCACCAACGCGGCCCACAACGGCGCAAGAAGCTTCAGAGACGGCCCCAAGACGGCCCAAGAAAACACCACAACGGCCCACAACGGCACCAAAACAGCCCCCGAGGACCCGAACACGGCCCGGGAAGGGCCCAAAACGGTGCACGAGGCGCCCGAAACGCCCCAGAGGCCTCCAACAGACCGCCAAGAAGCCCCCTGGAGGCCACCGACACAACCCACCAGGCCCCCCAAAGACCCCCACGAAACCCTCGAAATGTATCCAACAATTCTCGAACATGTCCCCCACGGATGGGTCCAAAACGGCCCGTTGACGAACGCAGGTTTGACGCCAAAACTCCTGCCCCCAAGCACCCTTGTGACGGACGCAGCATGGACGCCAAAGGTCCCGGAATTCCACTGGACGGACACGCCCGTTAGTAAGCGAGCTGGCGACACAAAGTGCTTCGAACGCTAAGGTTCCCAAGAGCGAACGCCAGCTCGTATGGCCAAGGCGTCCGAAAGCAAGCGGCGCCATGTGCCCAAGGCGGCCTCATGACGGCCCCGAGACACACTGGGGCCTCCAACCGACATCGACCGCGCCTCCAAGACGCCCACCTCGCAACGTCAAAACGACGAAACCGCCAAACAATCTTCCTGACCCATGGAAGCTCGAAGAAGGGTTACTTTCCCCTTCCTGCCCCTGCCCATTCCCTTCTCCATTGCGACGTCGGCTCGAGACTTCTAGGAACCATCGGCGCCCCCCGTGCCAGTCGAAGTTTCGCTCATGGTCAGACCTGGCCGCGCCTCTCGAATTTTCTCGCGCCCCCAGCCCTCGACGGTCAACGGCCTTGGAGCAGCTCCGTTGATCCTGCATAAACCCCGACACCCTCACTATCGCGACCAAGAACCCACACGCGGTTACCACCCTCACCCCTTCAAGATTCTCACCGTGACCCCCCTCCCCCCGACTTCCCGACAACCACTTTGTGATCACGATTTGCGTTCCGTAGTACATCGATGACACCACCCTCCATTATTAAAGCACGTTGTGAGTGCGACCCCTCGGATCGTGACCTTCACGCCCCTCGCGTTCATCACACCGATTATTTGTCCCAAACCATCGGCATCGCGGCCCGCGTGCAGGCCCCGCTGGGCCATGACCTTCGCCCCGCTGGCGGCCACGACGTACGCCCCCATCGACCTGATAGTCGCCACCCCAAGAGGAGGAGGAGGAGGAGGAGGAGGAGGAGGAGGAGGAGGAGGAGGAAGTGGGATAATGGCATACCCCGCCATCGAGCTCCTCACTTTGGGCCTCGTGGCAGCCCTGCCCTAACCCCATGGCACGAACATGCCGATGGGATCCATTCATCAAGTGTCCAACCGTCCTCTCTGGTGGTCATGATATTCACGCACCGATATGACCTTCGGCAGCCAACCGGCAATGCCCGGACGCAAGACCCTGGAGGCGAAGCGAGACGAGCCCTCAAGTCTTGCATGTATGTGTATATGTGTATGTATTCATACGGGACGGAAACACTATCCCTGGGAAGTAGGCCTGGAGCTCTGAGGTCGCGGATTGAACAAAGCCATATCGGAGGATGTCAATGCTCATGCTCATCGGGGGCGATTGGCAAGCTTGATGACGGGGCCTGCGCTCCTCTTGTTAACAACTCCCCGCAAGCAAACTATGGGCTCATACATCCGAAACGGGCCTACGTGGACGAAGGGACATCCTACCGGTGAGCCTTTACCTGTCCGGTTTGACGGGGGCTGAAAAAGGATAGCGGATGTCGCCAGCGAGGTTTGAAGCCAGCGCGTGCGCGGTCTCCATGCGCGCGCGCCTCTCAAGCCTTGCTTGTCCTGCCTGCTCGCCTTCGCCCGCCCTTTACCCGGGATTCCACGGCTTCAGCTTGAACGCTATTCGGCGTACAGTCAACCCGTATGAGAAGGGTGCGCGGTAAGGATGTAAGGGTCTTGCACGCGCATGCCGAGGCTCTTCGAGCGGGGCTGGCCACCGAGATAAGTGGATGCGGGACCGCTGTTGACCGAAGAGGCCAAGATGGAAGGGCACCCTTGGGATCTCGATCCTCCTTCCCGTGCGGGTTTTCACTGCACGCCACATGCGATTGCACCCCCGGCGCGCGCAGCCCCGTTAGCCGACCGCGCTTGCGTGCCCTGCCGGCGGCCCCTCTCTCTCGCAGCCCCTGGCCCTGGCCCGTCCGCCTCTGCCGCTGCGCGTCCTTCTCCACGTGCCTCTCCGCCCGCCGAATCCTCCCTCGCCCAACCCCATCGCGCCTGCTTTTCCTGCCGGCCGCCTCCCCCCGCCCACATGGACCCGCCCGCCCGCCTGCCTCGTCACGCGCGCCCTGGCCTCCAGGCTGCGCGCTCGTCGTCGCGTGCCGGCTCCTCCCTGCCCCCTTTGTGCTCCCCCTTTTTTTTCGTGGCTGGGCAGTGCAGGAGGCTGCATGGGAGCACTGGGGACGGGTGCAGATCCGATCCGCCCTCTTGGCCAAGGTGGCCTCGCGAAAATGCTTCCCCTCCCGCTCCCTAGATTTCTTTTTTGGGGGGGGCCATCACCTGTGCCTCTCCCTCTCGATTCCCATCAATTCTCACGGTCAACGTTTCTGAACGGGCTGGTGGGGACACGCGGAGCGAAAAGGGTCGTTTACCGCTTGCTCAGCGGCAGTGGTGAAGCTGCGGGTTCCGCACAAAGCACCCTCAGGTAGTCGCCCCGAAGATTATGTCGGGCGTGGACTCAATCTTAGGGTATCCCGATAGCCTGTGGCTTGCGATCTACTGTTGAGTCGGGAATGTCCGCCTACGGGCGGACGTTAGACGAAACATTGAACATAGTCACAACATGCTCCAGAAAGAACAAAAACAACCAGTCGAAACATCGTCCCCGGACTGTGTTTGGACAATGTTTTGAACATTCCTCCCGTACCCAGACCCCCGACGTCGTGATTTTTTCACAACGTCGACCCGCAGAGGTCTGGACCCCTTCCCCGGGACCGGTTCTTCATCCTGAGTCGTTTTTTGACGCTCCCGAGGCCCGGAGAGGGCCCCCGGAGGCCGAAAATATAGAAAACCCTCCCGTCGTGATTTTTTCACGGCGCGAGGAGGTCTGGGTAGAGGGACAGGCCCGACTCAATCTTAGGGTATCCCGATCGCCTGCGGCCTGCGATCTGCTGCCGAGTCGAGGCAGGGAGGCGGTGTGCGCGCGCGGCCCCGCGCGAAGAGCGGCGCGGGAGGCCGCCTGCAGCGACTCGGGGATCTCGAAGAGCTTCTCCTCGCGGGTCTTCTCCTGGGCTTCGGGCCAGGTTTAGGGCGGGCACGCCCCCCTACAGGCGGAGTTTGGACGACAAGTAGCACATACCCAAATCAGATTCAAACAATTGACAAAAATAGTCGGAAAGTCGTCCCCCGACTATTTTTTTGCTATTTTTGAAAATTCCTCCTGTAGAGGGACAGGCCCGACTTAAGGTTAGGTCGGGCATGTCCTCCCACAGGCGGATTTCGAACAAAAAATCAAAAACAGTCAAACGTACTTCCAAATAGCGAGGAAAGGCTCCCCAGACTATTTTCTGACTATCTTGGAATATTCCTCCTGTAGTCCGATTTGAGCTTCAGGCCATGCTGCACAGCTGAGGGGCCACGCCAGGAGGGGCAGCTCCTCGGGGCAGCGTCGAACTCGACTCGGACACGCATCGCCGATGGATCGGCGAGAGGCCCCCGATGTCAGATCCGCAAGGTCCAGGGGCGGGGTGGGCTATCGGGCACCTGCCGGCGATCCATGGGCCATTGGCGGGGTCGATACATGCCCCCCTGAGCTTTCCCCCCCCCTGACGGCGCCCCTGCATCTCAGTGCGGGGGTAACCCTGGGGCCCCAGGGACCACCGGAGTATTCACAAGACTAAAATATGTACCATGTTCTGCCCTTTGGATGTCGCAAGACCTGCAGACGGATCGTTACAAGAAATCAGAAGGCACAGTCCGAACAAGACCAGGGCTGCGACGCCATGCTGAAATGATGACTGAATGGTAACCGTCTTGCCGCCTCCTCGACCTCTGGGGCCGAGAGGCGCACCAGTACCCAAGCGTTGGCTCTGGCAGCTCTCTGGCCCCGATGCCAAACCAGCTCGGGTAGGTTCCTGCAGTGGCCAATGGTGGCGGCTGCTGCTGTCGCGGTTGGCCTGGCGACGGCCACCGCGCTGGCGCCGTGCGCAACATGGAAGCGAAATGTGAAGAGCACCAGGGGATGGGAGAGATGGGAGCACGAAAAGGGCAGCTGCCCCTTCACGCCCACCACAAACGCAGGACCCCGGACGGGAAGTGGGATACGGCAGGCAAGAGGCTCGGTGGCCTGGCGCGGCTCTCGGACCACATCTCGGGGCCTTGAGCGGCAATTTAGGGCAGCCCCGACACCCCCGGAACGCACTCGACGAGGCGCAGCTGATGCACAACAACCCTGACCTTCCAGGAGGGCTAATAAAAAATAGCACCCGACGTAAAAACCTATCCCAGAGCTATTTTACGTCTTGGTTTTAGGCTGTTTCGTCTCGTGTTTTAGGTGTTTAGGTTTCCAGTGTTAAAATATAGCTCTCTGGAAGGTCAGGGAACCTGGGCCCCAGAGGGGGATGGGGAGGAGGACGACGGGGCGGAGGGGGAAGAGGTAAAATTACGGTAGGTCCTTGGCCTTGACCTCCTCCTGCTTCTTCAGATTCAGCCGCTCGTTGATGAAGTCCTCCATGTGCTTGTCGGGACCACCTCCCCTCAGGGGCGGCACCCTGTCTTCCAGTCTACTGGCCAAGCCATCACGAGACCGCAGTCAAAGAAACGACGAAGAACACCCGGATGCACGCTGGGAAAATTCGAGGCGGGGAATGGGGAAGAATAACAACTGCACGAGCACAAACCGTCGGAGGTCCCCGTCGCGGAGCGCGCCCGCAACGACGCCCGAGGAGCCGCCGGGGGGGTCCATCGCCAGACCTCATAGGCTTCCAGTCGTTTTCCTTCTTCGGGGCCAGCGGATCGGGGGCGGCCAGGGGGGGGACCTCCAAGAGGGGTGGGCGCCAATCATGGCCGGTGGCACGTACGCGGCCCAGAGGCGGGGGCAGGGACGCATTGAAATAATAAGAGGCGCCGAGAAATCTGGGGAGATATCATGGCCCCCGCCATGGTATCCAACCCCCTAGTCATCACCGCCTTCTTTGCCGCCCTGGCTGGGGGCAGGGCGGGCGCGGAGACGGACGGCACGGGGTGGCATGCAAAGCGCAAAGGGCGGTGAAGGCGGGCGGGGGGGAGGGTGATGGGCCTGTTTTCCACCACCACCACCATAAATTGGAGGGGGAGGGGGTTCTCATCCTTCCCCTCCTCTTCCTCCTCCTCCTCCTCCTCCTCCTCCTCCTCCTCCTCCTCCTCGTAGTCGGCGTTGGAGCTCAGGCACTTTGAGCCGCGACGGGGTGAGGACCTTCACTGACACTCACTCACGCGACTCCCGCCCCATACATTTTCCATTCTCAGGCCAGAGACGGATTAGGGGGGAGGAGGAACGGAGAGAAGAAACAAGACAATCCCTGCAGCCATTCCGATACCGTACTTTTGCGACCCCTTCTCGCATGACAGGGTCGTAATCTGGTGATGGACTTTCCTTGTGCAGCAACTTTCTAAATGTCTATGCAGGATTGGAATGTGACCTTAGAAAAAATAGAAAAGACGAGCCAAATACGCAGAGAACGGATCCGCCGTACCCACCCTCGGAAATTCCAGATTGCCAGGATTGCAATGTGCGAACATTTGGTTGATCAAGTGCCGTCGCTGGACAGCAGTTGCTCGAGGAAAAAAAAACGGGGTTTGGGAGCAACCGAAGGTGCTAATGAAGAACCACGAAACCCAGAAACGACTGAGAAGTTCGAGAACAGCTGCGACAGAGAAATGAAAAGCAACTGCTCCAATGGAATCCGATTGGGCCTGCTTTGCATTCATCTGCCCGCCGGCGAGCGAAGATGGACGACAACGGTTCGAGGGAAGATGGAGGCCCGGCCTCGGCTGCGACCGATGAAGAAACGCAAAAACCCATACACCCCTGCTCTTCCTGCGATGGACAATTCATGTGCCGTTTCTACCCAAATTCCGATGGAAGATTGGAATGTGACGTTGAAGCAAATGAGGAGCCAAAGAAGCAGATTACGTTTTTGGGGGAGGGGAAAATTGGCACTGGAGATCGAAGATCAATTGCGCCAATGATACCTCATTGGCCCAGCTCTGCCCCCAGTTGCCCAGGGGCGAAATAAAGTTGGACGACGAAAGCCAAGTTGTTTGTCATTTTCGACCCCTCGGGGCCCTCGCCAGGCCCTGTAGGGCCGTCAAATAACGACCCAGGATGAAAAACCGGCCCCGGGGAGAGTGTCGGGACTTCCAGGGTCGCCGTCCTGAACAAAAGTCAGGACGTCGCATGCCTGGGTTTGCGCTGAGCCTGGTCAGTCCATGCACGAACTGATACCAGCTCTCCCTCCCGGGGAGTGGTGACCTCGAGGAGCACGTCGTCGACTAAGTCTGCTCGTCGAACTAGCAGCCGGCTCCGCGGCGGCGCTCTGGCGGGCAGAACTACCAGACATCCGACGTCGTGTTTGAATTCGCAACGTGGGACCCCAAAGGACTGGGCCCCTTCCCCGGGACCAGCTTTTCGTCCCGAGTCTCTTCTGACGTCCCCCAGGGCCCAGCGAAAGCCCCGAGGCCGAAAATTGCCTAACACCTCCCTTCGTCGTTTGGCCACTACATGGGGCATGTTCCTCATACCAACTCTGCCTTTCGAAGCGGCGGCCACTTCAATAAGCACCCCGTCGACAGATCATGCTCGTAGATCGGGGCTGGACAGAGCCCTCTGTAGCAAAACAACCTTCAGTGAAAGCGACCCAAGACCAGACCAGGTGGGCGCACGGCCGCAAGCGTTGCGGCCGCAGCATCCTCTGAAGAACAGACAAGAAACAACTCGCTTATCGACTTGGCAAGGTGGGGGCTCCTGCAACCACCGTCCTAGGGTTCTGTGAACCTCTCCCAGACCCTCGACGTCATGGTTTTCCATGACGTCGGCCCCCGCAGGTCTCGACCCATTCCCTGGGACCGGTTCTTCATCCTGAGTCGTTCTTTGACGATCCAGGGTGAGGGCCCCCAGATGACTTATGATCAGAACCGGGTCTTGCGCGAGATGGCACAGCGACCTTACGCGGCGGCTCACGCGGGCCGCCCTCGCGGCGTGCTGCACTGGAGACAAGGGCGCTCACGCGCGGCATTGCCCGGGCAGCTCGCGCGCCAGTGTCGGCGCAGACGACCCCGTGTTTGGGGCGTCGCCAGGATGCCCGACAAGGACGAACAACCGCCAACACCTTCGATCCTTTGCTTCATGCCAGGGGGGGCCTGGGCCCGCACGGTCACGGCGCGAGTGTGCCAAGGCCCTGAGATCCGATGCCGTGACTTTTTCCATGCGGGGTCCCCGGAAACTCGACCCATTCCCCAGGACCGGTTCTTCGTCCCGAGACGTTCCGTTGACGGCCCCGAGGCCTGGCGAGGGCCTCCGGGGGCCGCAATCTGCAAGCAACCCCCGTCTGGATTGTGGTCCGCGCGTCGGATCTCTGGGGAGCCGACCGCTGGCACCGCGGCGGCGCTGCGGACCGCGCGCGCGGCTGGCCCGCCGCAGCAAAAAGAAGGCGGCGGCCACCCTGACCTTCCAGAGAGCTATTTTTAAGCACTGGAAACCTAAAAACCTAAAAAACGAGACGAAACAGCCCAAAACCAAGACGTGAAATAGCTCTGGGATAGGTTTTTACGTCGGGTGTTATTTTTTAGCCCTCCTGGAAGGTCAGGGAAAGAAGGCGGCGGCCAGGCGGCGGCCGCCGCCGCAGCTCCGCCGCCCCCCTGCGAGAGGGCGCACCTCCGGGCGGGCCTCGCGCGCCTCCGTGCTCCGTCCTCCCCCCGTGTTCCGGCTGCTCCTGTGCCTCCTCCCTGCTCCTGCCCCTCCTCCTCCTCCTCCTCCCTCCTCTTCTCCTCCTCCTCCTCCTCGTCCCCCTCCTCGTCCCCCTCCTCCTCCTCCTCCTCCTCCTCCTCGTCCTCCTCATCCTCCTCCTCCTCCCTCATCCGTGGTCTGCCTTCTGTCTGCCTTCTGTTCTTTGTCCTCTCTCCCCCTCTCAACTTATCTGTCCACTCGGCTTATGTACCATCGGTTTCCCAGTCAATCCAGACAGGAGCAGCCAGACACCGGCCAGACCAACCAGACCAACTAGATTAGCCAGACCAGATGCAATCAAAACTGGAACGCAACAAAACATGCAAAGCAAACCAACTGTAAATCTCAAGCTAAAGATCCAGCACTAAGCTCGAACCAGAGCGACCAGACCAGCCAGTCCAGACCCCCCAAAACTGCAATGCAACAGACACTGCAAAGCAAACAGAACTGCAATGCAAAAATAACAACTGGTGTTCGGTGGTCGTAGTGGTTGGTGCTGCCGCCCTGGACCTCCCCTAACTTCTCTCGCCCGAATCCGAAGCTAAAGCTTCTGGACTGAGCTCAAACCAAACAAAACAGGCCAGCCACCAGATGCAAACAAAAACTGTAGTGCGAAAAACACCGCAAAGCACAAAGAACTGAAATGCAAACAAAACTGTTGCTGTCGGTGGTCGTAATGCTTGGCGCTGCCTCCCTAGGCCTCCCCTGAACCACTCTCGCCCGAATACGAAGCTAAGGCTTCAGGACTAAACTCTAACCGCACCAGACCAACCGGACCAGGCAGACCAGATGCAAGAAAAACCATGCAAACAAAAACTGCAAAGCAACATGAACTGTTTTTCGGTGGTAGTAGTGGTTGGTGCTGCCTCCCTGGGCCTCTCCTAAACTTCTCGCCCGAATCCGAAGCTAAAGCTTCAGGACTTAGCTCAAACCAGAAACACCAGACCAGACAGACCAGAGGCAAAAACGGCAATGCAAAACAAATGCAAAGTAACAATATGCAATGCAACGAAACCTTTTTTTCGATGGTCGTAATGGTTGGCGTTGCCTCCCTGGACCTCCCCTAAAACACTCTCGCCTGAATCCGAAGCTAAGGCTTCAGGATCACGCTCAATTCGCTAGAACCAGACCAGCCAAACCAGAAGCGTCAAACTTGCTCTTTGGAAGCTTGGCGTCCCGCCGTGTGCTACACGGCTGAGGACTTTATCTAGTTGAACTACCACTTTGCATTCTAGCGATCGAATTATCGATCTCACAATCGACTTCACTATCGATACCAAGGCGGGACACCCCCGGCCACCGCCCGCCCACCGCCGACAAAACACCGACGTGACACCAACGGGACAGCAAAGGGACACCACAGGACACCACGGCGGGACACCCCAGGCCACAGCGCGCCCACCGGGGGTGGAGTGGCTGTCCACTGCTTCCGAATCGCTCTAGCGACGGCGGGGTCATTCCTCTCGCGCGGCCGCACACACGACACGAACACAAAACCGAAACGGATTTCCTTGTGGGAGGGCTCCCCGACCCACTGCGATCTCAACCCCCAACTTCCTATACATACACCACTGTCTGCCTGTCAAGATCTCTATTTATTTGATACGTTCACTACTTATCGATTTCGCTACCAACTTATGTGCCGCTACCAATCGTTATCTACCAGCGTCAATAATTATCTACAGAGAAGACAACCGCAAAACAACCACGGGACAACCAAGGATCGGGACAAACACGACACAACCACGGGGCAACCGCGCGACAG